TCATCCTCATCCTCATCCTCATCCTCATCCTCATCCTCATCCTCATCATCCATTGGCGTTATCAAAGCATGTCAAAGCTGTCATGAGTCGTTCGGCTCATGAACCCCTCCGACCACCGAGCCGGGCCTCACCCCCCCCCAGGAGCCCCACCGCGCCTCCGACACCGAGCGCAAGATCGACGACATGCGGGCGCGGCGGTGGTCTCCGGTGGGTTTCGGGTGGTGCGGTGGACGTGGACAGGACCCAGGAGCAGCTGGTGAGGCCAAGGGTGGACCGACAGGCCATGGATGTTCATGAACCAAGCTGAGCGGAGATCCCCTGTGACTCCCTCTGGTGCGGAGGATAGATCTGTCCAGGGGCGTAACTACCGTCCACTTCGGTGAAGGTTTGAAGTGTAAGTGGGTCGTTTGCGGTGGTACATAGGGACCATGGAGAAAGGACTGGGGAGAAGGGTCCAGAGACAAGGGACTTGGGACAAGGGGCCATGGCACCTGGGAGTGCCAGAAGTCGGGATACCACACGCAGTTGATGCTCCATGAGCTCCAACTGATGAGTCCTGGAAGTGTGTCCCTAAACCAACCCAAGACATCGGGTTCAAGACCGAGCTGCAGGCATGCTGAATTGGCTCTCCCCTTTCGCATCTTGCATCTTGTTGGTTGCTATTCTTATTCTTCACTTGTGTCAACATGCTTCGGAATATGTAGGATGAACTGCACTACATCGAATGCCCCATTGACCTCAATTGATGGTTTTCAGGTTGTGGCAGTTTTTGTGGGTGAATCGGCCGTCCGCTGCAGAAGGTCAAGCTGGATGAGCTAGCAGAGGCATTCAAGGACAGGCAATGTGACATACTGTGTTTTTGTTGTCTACTCTGAAGTTGTTTGGACATATCCATCAGGCAGTGGCCAGGTGTTGTCGACTCCTGGGCATCGTGCGACTTATGCCTAGCAACATGCCCAGGCATTTGTAGCTGACGACCATCTAGGCCCTCAAGTTCCGGGGAGTTCAGGGATCCAGAGAGGCTCCAGAAACTCCAGTGCTGCAGGAGAGAAGCTGGTGACTTGCTGCGAGGCAAGGGAATGGGTCATGAGTCATGAATGGATAAGAAAGGTGTTTGGAAACGGTTTTGCCCCATCAGCTGCATTGAAGAGAAGAACCCTCCAAAGCTGAGAAAGACTTCAGACGCTTTTCGTGGCACCGCCAAAGAGCTCCAAAGAAGTGCAACAACGCCGCTCGCGTTTCTTTCGAGGGCACCGGTTTTGGCACCGACTGCAGGTTCAAAGGGTGGCCTTGTTCGTTGCCAGAGACACTGATGTTAATCCATTCGTCGCGCCGCCGTCGCGTCGCGATCTCAAAGCATTTCGTGCAGTGCGGTGCGCGGCGATAGTCCTCGTCCCGGTGGAGCGAGTCGTGCCTAGTGGAGCCCTGCCCATATTGATTCTTTCCCCGGCGGCGAAGAAGAATCACCTCCTCTGAAGAAGAGGCTATAGTGATTCCTGTTTCAGGGCGCGCGAGGGATTGGGATTGGAGGCCGTTTCGTAGGTACCCTTAGAAGTCCAAAGACTATATTTTGACCGGCTGGAGTAAAGGAAATTTCCTTTCAGTTCCCTTAAAGACAATTCTTTTTATAGTCTTTGACTCCCAGAGGGTAGATATTTCCCCAAATTGAGAGTGTTGGGCCTAGCTGTTGCGAGCCGGAGGGAGCGGCGGCTGAGGGGGTATAGTAACAGTTCTCATGATGATATCATTCAACACGGAGCCCATGGGAGCTACAGGGAGTTCTCCAACCCCCTAGCTAGATTCTTGCCCTGGAATTCCAGTCGTACCGAACCTCAGGTACGGTGAGCAAGGAGACTACTGTATTTAAGTAGGCGCCAGGAGAGCCCAAGTACCTTCTATACTTCGGACGTCCAGAGAGAGATGGAGAATAGAAGATTCAATTACAATCCACACATCCCCGCTCCTAACTAAATGGATATGGGGGGTGACCTAGGTATAGTGGATATCCACTGAGAATATCCACTCCAACTGGTTCTAATCAACGCAGACAACGGCGGACGTCCGGAGGTGGGGAACTTCATGGTTCTATCCATTGGGAGGGGTTCTTTTCCAGTTCTTTCAGCCTTATTGGGCTCCAAACTGCATGACTTCTCCCTAGATCCTGAAAGGAGGATCCGCGAATCCATTCGGGTTCCGTTCTGTCCGGCGCCGTCTGCAGCCTCAAGGGCTGGGTTAGAAAGAAGCCGGGCCCGGCACGAGCGGCTCCATGTGCAGATCGAAAGGGTGCTGGGGTGGCATTGGGCCCTCCAGAGGGGACGCCACCTGGGTGGCTCCGAGTCATGAACTCCTGGGGGTGGACGCCACCTGTGTTCTAACCAGTGTGGTATTTGGATGTCATGGTTATCCATTGGTGTGGGCCATGCCGTCCACCTGGGAAAAGAAACGATCGTATGAGGGAGTGTAGCTGTAAGGAGGTACCCAAGAAAATGTGATTATAGAGCAGATCTCCTCCACTTAAGGATACGTATGGATCCCAATTCCAAGTATGCGCATGGTTCGCTTTCTTTGGTCAGGAAGCCGCAACTACTGCTGTACCACATGTATTTCTTGACAACTGTAGTCACTATAGTCAGCTACATTGTCAGTTGCCACTTCAGTTGCCCTAAACCAGGCTGTGCACTAGCTGGATCAACTGGAGCATCCAATTGGAGAACCCCACTATCCCCCACTGCACGTGAGCTCCAATCCAGAAGTACGGCCTAGTGTGGGTACTTCTGCAGTCAATTGATCGCCGCTCCTGAAAAAATGATCAGATCACAACTGGATCAAGGATGAATTTAGACATCTCTTCCACCAGTCCTGAGCTGCAAAGCCCGGAATAGAAGCACCGAAGCGGTTACCATATACGTGTTGCACTGCGATTTGACCGAGCGACGTCAACAAAAAAGACACCAAGTGATCAAATCTAGCCATTCTTCAGGAGCCACTTTCGAAGAATAGCTCCAAGAATTTCAACCCAGACAAGGTCAGCATGTTTGAGTCTTTTCACTCTTACCCAGTGGGGTAGGCACCCCTCCAAGCGTCCAAATCCTCTCATGACCACGTTGCCATGAGCTTGGCCTTGAGCAACGCGCCGAAGAAGGGCGCCCTCAGCAACGCTCCCGGGAACTTGGGACGTGCCTGAGAACAGCACGTGCGTCGGGTGAGTGTGGCGGGTCAGGTGTGACCCTGTCGACCTGGGCGACCTGTGGTTCACTCATGCTGGACTTGGGGTGGACGATGTACAGTAGATCAGCATAGATCAGTAGGCACTTATTGCTTTTTGTCCTGCGCCTCTGGGAAGGAAACAACACTCGGCCATGTTGATTTGTAGATTGTATAGATTATAACATTTGCAAGAAAACCCTCCCTTACCATGAATCTCTTCCCAGGGAGTTTGGTTTGTCGCCACGACTGTGGCACTGACAGTGCCTGACAGTTCCCGTGTGAGGTGATCCATCCAGCGTCTCATCATATGCGGGAGACCCGGTGTCTGGGCAGCAGCGATGAGGGTGAACAAGTTGGCCAAACAGAGGCCCCGAACCAGGAATCCAGAACCAAGAGTTGGTATATATACTTCAAGGTTGTTTTTAAAATGGCCAAGATTTATCCAGATGACCAGCAGTCGACTCAAGCATGGCATCGCTGAATGTAACCATGTAACCCTATTTGGGTGTCTCTCACACCACCCGCGGGGTATTGTTTTGGTGTGGAACCAGTGGGTTCCAAAGACCAACACCATAGACATCCATAGACCTTGGAACCTTCTTTTGCTAGTCCAGAAGTTGGAACTGAGAAATACGTTTCTATATGTGCCTTGCCATCACCCAGGCAGAATCAGAAGAGTACAGGTCCAGGTATGAACATGAAATCACTAATTGGCGGCCCTTAAAATCGATCAAATCGATACGACCAGGTACTACTGTACAAGGTGAATCTCCTTCAAGATGCATTCGACATCAAATGCTTAATCTAGGACCCACTATATGTATGCAAGCATATATGCAAATTATTGTTATAGGTCCAGTGATTGGAACATCTTAACTCCCCGGTATGTCACAGTAAATTGCCGGAACGCAAATGGGATATGACCCTCACAACTCGGGTTTTAGACCAAACCAACCATGATAAGAGTTGCTATCACGGTCCATCCTATGTCCTCCTTCTATTGGGCAGCCGGAGGACTCGGAGGAGGCGAAGTGGTATCGCTGCGTCTTCGGGAAGACTTCGGTGTCTCTTGGCTCGACTGGGTGAGCGTGGGCGGTGGTGCGGTGGGGTGACCTCGGCAGCTGCAGTGCTGGCGGTATTTTCCGGTGTTTGTGGGTGGTTTGACGAGAGGAGCGGGTCGTGAAAAAGAAGTGGGTCGTTTTCCAGAGAAGGCGGGTCGTGACGTCTGAGGGGCGACGAGCTAGTTGCAGCGGCCACTGGGTTTGGGTCAGACACCCAAAACATCCCAAAACCGTTGAGTTGAGGACATTTTTCCTGGGATCTTGGAACAAGCAAGGGTAAGGAACCCATTTCTTTTTCCACATGAACCTCGGTCAGAGCCTGCTGGGATGAAGTATGTTATCACCCGGTTTGTCTCCCTAAACAAACGCAATAAGACAATATAACTAGATTCAGATAGGTTGCACAAGTTGTGCCACCGTGTTTGGGAACCCGCGGGTCTTTGATGGTCTGAACCATTATGCGCAACTGAAATCCTATGAATCGGATGTACCTTTGGGACTGCCCTCCTCGCCCACATTCCCTCAGGTTCCAGCGGAAGGTGTAACACATTCGCGCAGTTGTTGGTGCTTAGAGGCCCTACTCTTATACGTTTACGAGTTGTTCTACTCCCCGAAAAAGGTTGGGTCTCCCAGCGGAATAATTACTTAGCTCATCCTGCCCAACCATTCTCACTGCTCCAAATGGTTGGATCTGAGGCCAGATGCCATTGACTTAGTCAAGGCCAAAGCCGACCCCAACTGCAGGTGACACTCACGGCACGTCGCGTGGGGTCGGTCCCCTCCAAAGACTCTTCAGGGTTTCAGGATGGCTCGACTGAGAACATGGTTGTAGATTGATGGATTCTAACCCGGCTCTCCAACCAGGGCTTGTTGGGCGTGCTCAGCCTCTTGCCTGTAGACTCGGTAGACTCGGTAGACCTAGCCAGTCCGTCGATCACCTGAAAAGCTGAAAGTTGGTGGATTTTCTTGGGGATTGGTTTCCCCACTAAACAAGACAGGTCCAAAAAGGTTAATCATTTATTTTGCAGAGAAACTGATGGAGTCAGGATGTTCAAGGGACCCTTCAGGTGAAAGGAGATAGACACTTAGAAAGGCTTTGCAACAGAGAGTTCCCACACAAGACCAGTAACGGCCCGTAATTAGCCACCGGCCCGGGTGGAGGGTGGATTGCGAGGCTTCAGCATCTTGAACTGGCCGTGTTTATTGACTCGTTGGGAAGGCTACCAGTTGGGCCCCATCACCCTGGACCCATCCTGGACCCTGGCTCCGCCAGGTTCAAGTACAAGCTCGGGCCCAAAGAGTTCGATGGTACCCCCTTGACGTTGGCCGTGAAGCTGGACAAGCCCCTGGGACGTCGACACAGGGCCGGGCCGGAGAGGAGCGGTTCGAGCGAGCGGTTCGAGCGGCGAGTCTGGGCGGTTCATGTGTGACTTCGGTTCGCTTCACGTGCAGCCGTGAAGCGTTCGCCAAACCAAAGGTCCGGACCTGAAAAGGGGGGGACAGTTGGTGTCGGAGATTCCGCAGGTCGGAAATTGGGAGAGACCAGACACCCAATGACACCCATACATGTCACCTCCCAGTGTATCACATCCACGAGGCGTTCCTGCAATTGTCCAAAACCTCACCCTCGGAGGCTCCAAACCACTGAAAACCACCTCTGGGGTGGGTCCTCGGCACTTGGTTTTCGACCCCACCATGAGGCCCTTCATTCTCATGGCGGTCCATGGGAACCATCTGGTCTGGTCATGCCTGGGTCCATGGGAACCGTCGACGAAGGCCTGCATTGGTGCGAAAGCTCATCGACTTCAAGGCGGACCCCGCCTCGGAGTATTCCATGCTGCTTAGCAGAAAGAACCCGCAGGAGGAAATGAAGCAGGGGGCATGGCAGTTCCCTAGCCATGCCAACGAAGCTATGGGATTCAGCCGGAAAGGTTCAACGAACTGCACGACTCGACTCAGGGGTTCTTAGGTACCGACGCAGCGACCCAGAAAAATGTCTTCTAGGGCGACTTATTCGTGCCTCCTCAGAAGGTATGACTGGACCCTCCTGGCACCCACCCAAGTCCCACCGGCTCCAGTCCAAGGGATATCCAATAATAATTGCCAATCATACCTAGACCATCCTAGACCTTCATTTCGGGGTGTCCAATGGAGATCCACAATGTAGTGTCGGGTGTTCCGTACGTAGCACCCCGACATGAAGGTGCTGGGTAACCCCCCTTTGGGGTTGGTGAATCGTGCAGTGCTTTAGGTCCAAAAGGGCGCTAGTCTAGTCTACCAGTTATGAAGTAGGTGCCTATAAGTGTCACCGGGGGGGACCAGCCTGATGGTCTCAAAGGGGATCCAGAAGCATCAACATCCAGCTCCAAGCACATCCGAAAAGACTGAACCCCCAAACCCACCCACCCCACCCACCTTCTTTTCGGAGGTGGTTTCAGATATTACCAAGCATCAGCATCATCTTTATTATTAACCTTTATTACTTGGGAACCATGTTGAACCCACTGACACATGTTTTTCAAGAGTTGAAACCACCCATCAGCCCATGGATGTTGAATTCTCCACTCTCCACTCGCCCTGGTGACGCTCCCACCCCGGTCTGAGCTCGTTTTCCGAGGAGCGCCGGGCGCTTGCGAGTCCATTGGACCGGTCCGGCGGTGTGCGGCACGGTGGCCAAAGGGAATTTGGCCATGATGAGGCCAGGACGTTTCGCCCTCGCGGGTTCGGCGGAGAGGGGCGGAGGCGGGGGGGGTTCGAGCGGTTTCGGATGTGGAGGATGTGGTGGTTCCGGGTTGGGTGGGCGTGGGGCATGGAAGGAGCATGGAAGGAGGTGCGACGTCATTCCTCCACTCCATGCCACTCCTCTCAGCTTTCACCGACTTCCTTTCACCCTTGATACGGCTCCTCATGTCTCTGTCGGAGGTGGCGAGGTGAAGGGTTTCGTGGAGGTGCTGAAGTCGAAACAGAGGGACCTGGACTGTGGCATGGTGGTGTGGTGGTATGTGGTGGTCATAGGACATTCTTTGGCTAAAGAATGGCCTGGTGGTGACTTGAACGCAACACGTTTGGGCGTCATTTTGAAGGATGTGCCCGAAGACAACACCGTGCACCGCCCAAAGATTTTTGCTACCCAAAGGTAGCAGGTAGCAGCTGCGCAAAAGCATAAGAACTTGCCGCGCGAGCTTGCGGCCGAGTATGGTCCGGAAGCGGTAGCGGTCTTGGGAAGTGTTTGGGACGGCAAGCCGGTGCCCGTCGCAAAAGGGCACCCCTGCATGCAAGAACTAATGCACAAACTGAGGAAACGGAAGGGCATTGCACAACCCAAGCGTGCGCCACACCTTCATCGTTTGCCTGCAATATTGACAGAGGCCACCAGAAACCATCGGAAACCGAGAAAAACAGCCTGATGCAGCACGTACGTGGACTCCATGTCCAAAAGCATCCAGCGGTTTTGGCCATCTCTCCTTCAGGCTGCTGGTGGAGTGTGAGGCCAACCTGCAGGGAAGGGTCATCAGCTTCAACGGTGAGCCGAATGGCACGTTGCTCTACGACGCTGGGCGAAGCGACGCCCTCCGCCCGGCCGTACAACGGGGATCTAACAAAGGGTTTGGTGACGCATGCCGCTGCGCTGGGATTGAGGGCCTATATAGGAAGCCCTTTCTTTGTGGGGAGGTTGGCGAGTGTCTAGCCGGTGCAAGCTGTATTATATAGATGATCGATGTAAGGAGTTCACCCATGGCAGATGGATGTCTTTGAACATCCTGCAGTTAGGAGGGGATGTTTCAATCCAACATGACTATGGGCCAAAGGAATTTCCGTCCTTCCGCCTCACAGCAGACGGTGCTAGACCTTGGACCATTGGAGCATCTTGGACCTAAGGATGCCAGTTACTTTGGCCATGCGCACTTGGCAGCTTGGCTGCAGTTGGAGGGTCCAACTTTCTGCCGACCCACTTGGACGAAACCCATTCAAAATCATTGAAATGGAGCCTGCATGGATGATTTTAGTAAAGTATACGTGTCGTGAGCCACATAGGAAGCAGAAAAAGTCTGGACTGTTGATGAAGAAAAGCCCCGGTATACCTGGTATGGTCCAACATCTCCATATGGGTGTGCATTCAAATAGGCAGACCTCCCAGATCGACCGATTGGAAGAAGGGAGTCTACCCATGGGACCAGGGGATCTCCCTCTTAAAAGGCACACACATATGAAGACTTTATAAGTCATTAGGTCCGTGGTGTGGTTTCACCATTGCACGACTCAGCTGAGTGGTCCATGAACTTTTGGTCCTCGAGGCAGGTAGTGCTGAGGGCCAAATGAGAACATGGGAAGACCACACTTTCGGCCAACCCGGGTGAACAACTAGCTGATACGCTGGCACCGCTCAGCATGCTGCGGCATGCTCTCCCCCTTCCTCCCATCACCATCTTCGCCCACATCCGAAACCTGGTCTCCGAGACCAGGACCGAACTGTTCGTCCTCCTCCCCCCAAAAAAGTAGTCAGCAGCACACTCCAAAAGGTCACCACCTGCGACTTTTAAGTCAGCAAAAGCCTCCAGGCCTCGGAGACCTGTAGAGTCGGGTGGGGTGCTGGTAGTAATCATGTACGGATCAAACACAGTATTTAGTAAAATCCTCTTAACCCACCCCAAACACCTTCTTAGAAGGTACTTGGAGCCCTAGGGATATGGATCATTTGGGCAACCGAAGGTTAAACAACAAAAAGCACCATGCCAGTCCGTGCCATTCCGTGACCTGAATTTCGGACGTTGGACATCCACATAGCCCATGTGGAGGAAGTTCGGGTAGGACTTTGGGATACTTTTTGGTGTTTTTTTTCCTTGTGACCCTGACCTTGCACTGTAGGTCCGCTACCTGCTGCAACAGAAGGGAGAGCCTGACCTGGCAGTGAAGCAGCTTGGCCGCGAGGGTTGTCTGAAGTGTGTGGCCTAACTACTATTTATCTACGCAATATTTTCCTACATAGGGGTGATATCAGGGTCCACGGTAGGCACATACTCTATAGAGAGAGCCCCCGAGTGACAAAAGATAGACGAGAACATCCGAGAAACGCGGTGGGTTTGAGTTCAAGGCCACAAAATGTGAAATCACTCCACCTGATGTTCTTCTATTTTCTTCCTGATGTATTCATCGGGGTTGGGCCTTTGAAGCTATGGCGGTGGGCTCGGGCCTATGCTCTGCAGCCATTCCTGCTGCAGATGGATAGTTGGATTTGAATTTGGCATAATTTGGCGTATTTTGGGAAGGATCCGGCTTGTGCAGGGGGTCCGGCTCTAACATCAGCACGATAATATCGCATATTCTTCCAGCACCACCCAAAGGATGGTTATTGGATGGTAAACAGATGGTATGGGGGGTCTAAAAACCCACCATTTAAGCGTTGCGGGTAGGTCATTCTTGCTTATCTACTAGCGTTGCCGTTGCTATGACTTTGTGTACGATACATGTTTTTAACTTGTGTTTCGTTACCTCATCATTGGCGAGGTGCGCCGGCTGGTCATTTTAACTCGGTTTCGCAACGACATAGAGATAGATGCCGCGAACATTTGCGAACCCACAGAATTGCAAAACAGAACAACGTCGAGTTGGACCTTCAATTCGTTTATACTGAGTTCACACTGGCCAACTGGTCCAGGTGTCAGATGACATGTGCGTGGTCCAACCGGCAGATATGGGTCTTTGTCGCACGCACACCCCAGAGTCTCACAGAGTTCAGATGTTTTGACGTCGCATGGTCTAAGGAGCATAGATACGTACCAGGACCTTCCCAAGTGACCGAACTTACAAGCCTGTTAGTGACCGAACCAACCCAGGAGATCAAGTTCGGTCACCGGGAAGATCCAGGTAGGCTATAGCTTTTGCTGTTCACCTGTTGCAGGGCGTTGGTTTGGCACCTGAAGTACTCCAGAAAGGGGGGGTCACTTGTGGCCTGTGCAGGAAGACTTGTTCGGGCCTCCGAAAGCGAAAGCGTGAACAGACAGCCAATTGATGAGAAGAACTTTCATCCTTCCTGAACATCTGCACACTACTCTACAATGTTACCAATGAGATTCGGGATGCAAGCAGTAAGCAGACTCATTCTTATTTGGATAACATGTTTCAAGCTGTTTTGCTCTTCTTTGGGATGGCCGCTCTCTTGCGATTGCATCCCCTTCAAGGTTTCAAGATGATATGAACATCACCAAGACAGCTCCTCGTTGGCGAGCGACGGCCATGCCGAGCCATTGTATGGTGAATGCGCAGAAGTGAGTCTAATGGAGGTAAAAAGAGGTACCCAGACACCCAGAGCATCCGTGCCATGCATGGAATAAACACCTACATTGACCCCAAAGCAACCACCCCAGTATAAGTAGATATGCGAAGGTGCCATCGGTCGTGTTTGGGACATGGACCGTGATCTGATGGTCGAAGCTCGTTCCCCAATCGGCATCGCCTTGCAGCATCCATGGCCTGGGGGTGGAACCAGCTGTTGAATCGGCCCTTTTGCGTAAGTGGAAGTGGGGGGCAGATAGAACGCCAAGCAGGCAGTAGTTATAGCAGCAGCAGTAGTAGCAGTATCATGTATGGAAACAAGAAGATTGAGGAACATCACGCGTGTTGGTGGAAACCACGGGTGGAATTCTCGGCGTCCGAGCCCAGGCTCTCCAGATTTCCTCGAACTTCGGCCATGAGGCGATCGGGTGGAAGACGTGGCCGCCGGGTGGAAGACGTCCCAGAGCATCCATTGCCTGTGGCCGATTTACTAGCAGCGTTCACCTTAAGTGGAACCACCGTAGATAAATGGGTCACACAGAGAAGTATCATCCGCGTCATAAATCTCTCAAGGGCTTTGTGAAGAAGTCTGGACCCCGGAGTGTCGTTTCGGAGCGCAGCGGTCCTGCGCTTTCGGATGTACTGCAGGAGGTGGTCCGTGTACTGCTGGGCGCCCAAGCGCAGATTTCGGGACCTCAAGAACTTCGCGATGCCATCGACGGATGCCATGTGGAGGCGTGGATGTCATGGAGAGGATTGACTGACCATTGTCATCCGTCTTGGCCTTCTACAACATTCTACCACCCAGTTTCACAGATGGACATGATGGACCTTAAGAATTTGACCTTGATGGGTCTGACTGACCATTGGAGCGGAAGGAACGAACACCTTCTGCATAATTTGAAGGCGGCCCCGTAAAAGAATTGGCTCATGTCTCCCAGCCTGCTGAGACCTCTACTGGCCTTTCTCCACCCCCAAGAAGGCCAACCTTCGTGAAGCTTGCACAGCCCGAGTCGGGCTTTTCTGTTCTGTGCTCGTCAGATGGTACTGGTCACCTGCAGGTATCGTGGCTGATCGTGGGGCCTTACCTACAGCGAATGCTGGCAATCACTGGGTTTGTGGGTCAACACGTGCCCTTTTCAATCGATAGGCACACACAGGGTGAAACAGCTGCCATGTGAAGCCCACCTTTCGGCATGATTCACTTGCCAGTATTTGCTCCAATCTGAGATACAGCCAACCCGAAGACCTCGCCTTTCCCAAGCCATATGGCGCCCATCAGATAATGCAGCAGGGATGCCTCGTCTACTGCAGCACCTGATCTCTATTGCCAGGTGGTCCGGCTACTGGTGCAAGCAGGCGCCGACTTGTTCACGGAGGCCATCGATGGAAGGACCGCCGATCCGCGGAGATGGGATCACGCTGTTCCACACGGTATCCACATCCAGCATGGAAGAGAAACCTGGGGGTCGATCACGCTGGAGAAGGTACAGCGGTTGGCGTATTTTTAGGTCTAGTGCACCATCCGTCCTAAAGCCCCAACGAATTATACGAAATGCTATCAACTATCATGAAGATACATTACATTTAGTCCAGATTCTAGGTGGTTCTTAGATGAGCATATAGCACATCCACTACGTACGCCCTAGCAAGGCCTCAAGTCCCGTTCCCTTTCGCCAGTCGGGGCATTGACTACCTCTTCCACACCAACAACGCTGTGCTCATCGCTGCAGCGGCCAAGGGCCTCCGGGGCTGTCAAGAGGATTTGGCCTCTTGGGTTCAAGCACCTGCGCGGATTTCGTTCGATTCAACGGTGACCTTGTCCGACAGCATGGAAGAGGAGACCCAGAAATGTGAGCCTCGAAAAGTCGATATCCCATCTAATTTGGATTGACAAGCCGCGACCTTTTGGGTGTTACACTGGGTGACCCCTACATGTCATTTGTTTTTCTTTTTTGGGGTGTGATTTTTCAACAAAGGCGGACGCTAAAGCGGCCGGCCTTACCCGCCGGGGATGCCTGTTTTTCGCACCTGGTTCAGGTGGAATTCATGAGCCTTTCGGATTTCGTGCGCTTCCTGGCCACCCCAGATACCTGGCTGAACGAAGCAAAGAAGCTTTCGCATGGTGTCCGGGACCTTTTGGTAGGCAGACATGACGTCAAATGAAAGCGCCAAATGACTTGAGGATGGCATGTTGATCAGCTTCCATTGGCACATCCGACCCAGTAACAGCAGCAGAAGAGCCCTGTCCGTTGAGAGTCTCCAATGTTCGTGCTGGCCCCTGAGGATGCGGAAGAGATCCTGTCCGCTGTCTTCCGAAAGTGCGAACTGCGCTACTGGCAAGGCCCACGGTCGTCCGATCGTGCGGCGGGTCAACGGAGATCCAGATTGCGTGGACTGCGGGAGCCAAGCACAAGCTGCACGTCTACTCTCCAAAGTCTCAGTTCATCTCAGTTCTAAAGATACATTTGTAGACACATGAACTTGAAAAAGGATAGGACATGTCATTTGCTTGAGGGAGTCATAGAAAGGGCAACTTACTGCAGGACTCCAAATAGATGTTTGGGATGATGATTGGGTTGATTTGGATGATGATTTGGTTGCATTTGGATGATGGTTGGGGGGCACTCCATGCGAATGTATTAGGTATGTGCTCACAAAGGGAACCTCCAAGCATGGGCCATACTGTCAGAATACAGCATCACTACCAAAAAGGATCTTTCAGAGCATTTGTTGGGCACAAAGCAACACATGTACGTATATATAGCGATATATTGTACCTGCTTTCTATACGGCGACCTCCAAGGAAAAACGGCTTCCATGATTTCCGGAATCTTGGGAACTCAACAGGTGAGAAGCGCATTGTTTGGAAGTCGGCCTACATCTTGCACGGGGACATGTCGCTGGGCGGGGATGGAAGGATTTGGAGAAGAACTGAGACGTGCAAATCAATTCACATAGATGCAGTTGATGACCTGAAGAAAGGAGGCAATATATAACTATTTATAGATATCTATATCTAATCACATCTAATCTAATCACTATTACACCCAGTGCATCCCAGTTACAGTACCACTATATAAGGAACCAGGGATACTAGGTCTATGGTTTTAGTCTTTGGAACCACTGGTTACCAGCTATATATAGTGGTTTGTTTGGATGCCATGGGTATAAAATTAATAAAGCATGGAGCTATAAGTAGTAGGACTTTGCGGTCCTAAACTTCCGGATTCCCAAGTTTGGAACATGTTGAACTTCCGAAACCACCGAACTCGTAGCGACGCGCTCAGGAATGTGGCTGTCGGGCCGAAGAAGGATCAGATGGACCAGCAGTTTCACAACCAGATGCGGCTGGGCGGGGATTAGGCCTTTCAATAGGGAGACCCCCCTGGAGGGAGGGAGGGAGGGGGTAGATTCATCTCTCTTCCAAACCATCAAGGGGGGTCGAACGGGGAGCGGCTCCGTGGGGCTGCTGCTGCTGTTGGTGGCGGTGGTATTTGAGCGATGTTGTGTTGTTTCCCATTTGCTTGTTTCTCGCTCTCTCTCTCTCTCTCGCATGGTTACCAAGGGAAACTGTAACTGCAAACATCCAGAAAGCTAAGCAGCCAAGGGACTAGGTAAGCACCCACACATACCTACATACCACAGAGACGGCTGGTGATCTACAAACCGCCATGCCCAGCCACTTGGAAAAAAAGAAAACATCTCATCTCTATTTCTGATGGATTCGGACTCCCCCAAGAGCTAACAGCACAAAAACTATTATGCATGATGGCCACCGGCCGAGTTGGTTGGTTTCTTGCATGTCCCCACCGTCACCCATATTGAAAACATCCGCGAAATAATCCGAGGCAATGCCTTGAGAAATCCGTGTCAGGGACACCATCCTTGGTCCAGGACCGAGACCTATAGAGAGATAGAGCGGTCAGGGGGGAAGCAGTGCGGCCGGGATCTTTCCTGCAGAGGATCCCAGAACTGATCAGCGATAGTGACTAGAAGCTACTAGGTGGAGGCCACCACAAGTAGGTTGGAGGCCATCGCAAGTAGGTTGGAGGCCATTGCTACTAGGAGCAAGAGGTTTGTGTTCTTCCACGGTGAAAACAATGACCGGGCCTGAGAGCCGAGTCAGCCCTTCGGTGGGCAGGCACGGAGGTCATATGTACTGTTCATCCCTCAAGAGAGGAACACATCAGACCAGTGCATCCCGTGCCCAACCAAGACATGTGTGATCAGGGATGTACTTTCTTATCACGAAAGCTAGCGAAGCTAGCTGGAGTTACTCTTGCGATAGCAAGGTTTCTTTCGACCGGGTGCAAATCCTAACCCCTGATTTTTCAGGTCGAAGACCCCCCCCC